ACCCTTTTGGATCTTTAGAAATAACTTGAGCAGAATGGGGGGTTAACTCTTCTTTGAAAGTTTTATAGAACTCAGAGCTGAAGCTGTCAGTGCCAGTGCTTTTCTTTGTTGGGAGGCTATTTATTACTGATTCAATCTCCTGGCTTGTTATGGGCCTGTTTAGACTTTCTATATCCTCCTTGCTCAATCTTGGTAGATTATTACGTGTCCAGGAATTTGTCCATCTCATCCAGATTGTCTTGTTTCTTGGTATATAATTGTTCATAATATCCTCTAGTTATGTTCTGTATTTCTGCTTTGTTTGTTGTTATAATATTTCCTCTGTCTGTTGTTATATTTCCTGCTTCATTGCAGATTTGATTCACCTGGTTCCTTTCTCTTCTTAATAAGTCTCGCTAGTGGTGTATCAATTTTGCTTATCTTTTCAAAGAACCAGCTTTTACTTTCATTTATTTTCTGTATAGTTCGCTTATTTTCTATTTCATTAATTTCTGCTCAGATCTTTATTATTTCCTTTCTCCTGGAGGTTTTGGATTATTTTGCTGTTGCTTCTCCAATTCCCTGAGGCACGATGTTAAGTGATCCATTAGCCTTCTTTCCGTCTTCCCCTTATGAGCACTAATTGCTATAAACTTCCCTCTTATGACTGCCTTTACAGTGTCCCAAAGATTATGGAAACTCGTGTCCTCATTGTCATTAGCTTCCATGAATCTTTTGATTTTCAACTTTATTTCATCAGTAGTTGTGGAGTCATTCAGAAGTAGGCTATTTAGTTTCCATGTATATGGGTATTTTTGAGGATTTCACTTGAAATTAAACACACGTTTAATTCCATTATGGTCAGAGAAGTTGCTGGGAATAGTTTCTATGCCTTTGAATTTGGAGAGGCTTGCTTAGTGCCCTATGATGTGGTCAATATTCTGTAAGGTTCCATGTGGGGTTGAGAAACAAGTGTATCTCATGGTTTTTGGATAGAAAGTTCTATAGATGTCTGTTAAGTCTATTTCATTTATGATATCATTCCGGTCCTTTATCTCTTTATCTATTTTTTGTCTAGATGATCTGTCTCAAGGGGATAATGCAGTGCTGAGGTCTTTAACAATTAGTGTATTGCAGTCTATCTCCCCTTTTAGATCTAACAGTCTTTCCTTCACATATTTGGGGGCTCCTATGTTGGGTGCATAGATATTTATAAGAGTTATATCTTCTTGAT